ATAATAATTATTTATGTTGTATTTACTGTTATTAACATTTCTTTATTAAATATTATGACAAAAATAGCCCATTAGATTGTAGCAGGTGCATTGGTCATAATTTTAGTATCCATTATGTATTTTTCTAACTGATATGTACATTATATATATATATATATATTATTTGTAATTGATGAGATCATTTTAAGTTTTTATAGGTGTCGAGTAACATGGTGAGGCGACAATAGAATAATTCAAAAAATTGACAATTGCATTGCTGCTGCAACACAAACATGCAAGAAAGATCTGATAAAAATATGAAATAACAAGAGAAGATTGTGGATCAGCAAACAGACAAAAAATGAAGATTAAATGGTCTGCAAATTGTCTTACGCCTGCAGGTAAAGATTATATATCAAGCTTTTATAGTACATCCTTATGTATATTTTTTTTCAATCAGTGTATCCACATTTTAATTACATGGAAAAACTGTATACATTTATATATACACTGTCAGGGATGGAGCCAAAAAATTATTTGAGAGGAGGCAATCTTGAAAAATAATTAGATAAAAAATTTTCAAACTAGCATGAGAGAGGGATTTACCAAAAATATAGTTAGGGGTGGCTAGCTAAATTAATTGACACCAAAACTCCATTTGTTTGGATGCAGTGACCAACCTAGAAAATTAGGTAAGGGGAGAGGTGGCAGATTTTCATAATTTCAGTGGGGGCAATTTTAAAATTTTATGGATATAATTGTAAAAAAAAATAAAAAATTCAGAAGTATAAAATGCAAAAAAAAAAAAAAAAAAAAAAAGAAAGAAAAAAAAAAAGAGAAAAAAAAAAAAAAATTCCATCCTTGTTTGAAAGAAAAATGTTTTTTAAAAATTAAATTTTATTTTATGGTGTTTGGTGGTTGTAAAATTATTTCGAAAAAAAAAAAATTATAACATAACAAAAATAACTTATTCATCAATTTTCGATAGATTATTTCACGCACCCAGCCCAATTGACTTGACCTAGACCTAGGTCTTTCACCGAATATATATATATATATATATATATATATATATATTTTACTTGAAAAAAATATATATATATATTTCGAAAAGATAATTTATGTCAAAATAAACGGAACCCAACGAGAATATAAAATTTACTTGATTTTTCATTTGCACATCCACTCAAAATATTTTTCATTCAATAACTGAAAATTTATTGATGGGATGAATATACTGATGGTATTTTTACAGTAGTAGTCATCACCCTCCTCGCTATTAATTACTTTTTGATACTGTTTTGTTGTTTTCATGTTTTCTTCTCCCTGCTGAATTGGGGGTTCCATGCACATTCTCTAATTCTCTTCAATCTATACTGAAGCTTACCCTTTAACTAAACACACACACATACACACACACAGTCTTAAGATTATTTTATTTATGAAAAAAAGTAGTAGTAGGCTAGTACCTACCCATAATAAATAAATTTAAAGAGAGAAGCAATGAATTAGTTATCAAATCAACTACACGGCCTTGGATTAAACCTTATATAGATGGAGTTGAATTCGATTTGCATGACATTTTACCTATCACATGTAGGTGTATAAAATTATATAAGCATGTATATTTATTAATGCTTGCATGGAATGCATGGTGACCATATATATATGCTACATGCAACACATGGCATGCAAAGCCATCGTATGCATCACACGCATTCATATTTTTTGATTGAGGTAGAATTATACAGTAGTGGTATAGTAAAGTGTATAAAAGGACAGACATGCTCATTCTCAAACAATATTAGATCCGCATTAATAGGCACACAAATACCTATGCACATTTATATTAATGGGAACACAAGTACTGTTGGGGGTTGACTTCACAGGTCGTGTGGGTGCTGGACTGAATCCTTTCCGACCAACCTAAGTTTTTAATGTGGAAATTTTTGGTGTCCTCTAGATGGGTGTGTCATCCTTATAGTAAGCTTAGGGCTGAAATATTTGTTTTCTTATTTATTTATTTTTTGGTTTCTTTAATTTTCTTAGTTGGAAACTTCGAAATTTGTTTGAAAATTAGTTTAATTGACAATTTTCTAATGAACACTAAGTCAAAAAAAAAAGTTTCATTTCAAAGAATGGTTTTTTGTAATTATGGGAAAATTATTTTGTATTTTCAAAATTGTTTAAAAACAATTTCAGAGAACTATATACCAAGCATCCTTTTAAGTGTTTAGTTAGGTCCAAGAAAGCTCATTTCACGAAGAAAAGGATAGCTGACTCACTGTAATTCTTGGTGCATTTGCTTCATTCTTTGTGTATGTGTACTAAGTATGAGTAATAATTCTACACTTGTTGACACCCAACAACCAACTTGAGTATATTTCTTTAAAATTTTAAAATTGCAGCTTTTAAAAAATTAATTTTTTTTATATGTATATTTCTTTAAAATTTTAAAATTGGCCCTCAACCTTTAAAAAATTTCAATTTTGTATGTATAAATCTTTAAAATTTAAAAATTACCCCTTATTTTATTTTTTTTTATTTTTTTTTTTGTGCATTGTGCCCCTAAACATAATTTCTATCTCCGTCCCTGTTCGTGCTAACAATACATATAAAATGTATACTATTTGTTTTATTTTTTTTGAAAGGTAAAATGTATACAAAAAGAAGATGAGATACGTTTTTTTACCTGGCTTAGAATGCCTTGTGCTATTGTGCATTTCTCTTTACATCCACAAGTTCAATTTCAAGTAAAAAAATAGGGCAATTAAATATAAAATCTTTCATTGAATTTATATTCCCCATTTTCTTCCACGTAGTCTTCAAACTTTGAAAGCCAAGTCCATTCTTAATTTTGTTAAACAAGTGATCGATGTATGTGATATTTCTTTTAGAATGTCACATGGAATAAGAGTCACCTTTTGAAAAAGTTTTTATGACTCATTTCACGAAGCACTCAAGAACACCGTGACCAAACAAATATGATATGGTTGTAAAAGGAAGAAAATACAGCATTTTGAGCATGGAAGATGTCAATCACAATCACAATCTATGCTACACGTGGGAAGAATGAAAAAGTTCCATTGTACTTCCCAACTTAATTGTAAGTTGTAAAGCCTCTTTTTTCAACCTTATACCTCCGAACTAGTTTCTAACACCATACTAATTGAGCCACATTTATAGCGAGACCTAGTATATATTAATTCCATTGATGAGACAAATTAATTGAATATAGAACAAAACAATTCCACAAAAGGGCATATATGACATCAATATAATAAGAGACCATAACTTAATTGAAATGACATGTTTTGAGGCACATTGCAGTGTTATTGTTCTTATATATGCAATTGTTGAAATTGGGGTTCTTGACTTCTCTGTGGATGGGTTAGTGTCCACATTTCCAAGTCAGAGTCGTTTGTAGGGTGTGCATATATATATATATATATATATATATATATATATATATATTAATGTCCCACTAATATTTTGTAGGTTTTTTATTTTTATTATTATTCATTTTATTTTTAGTATATACATATAGTATAAGCATCTTAGAATTAGCCTAATTAGCAATGGTATTTGAGTATATGGAGTTGGGCTTGTAGGGGATGGGAAGGGATGAGATTGGATGGTAGGTCCCGAGTCCCAAGTAGGAACAAACCCCGTGATTCCCGACGGAAAGGGAGCTGCAAGCATGCATGCAACATTTTTTCTTTACACTTTCCGTCAGCATCACATTCACAGACAGCAATGCATCATATATATATATATACATACATATATATATGTATGTATATGCTTGTATGTATCATCAATCTTCAAAATTTGATCTTCTTACTATTATTAATTAGAAAATTAAAGATAAACACAGGCACACACATACACACAATGTGTGTGTGTGACAATGTGATTTATTATTGATTTGTGGTAAAAGAGTTTGTTTTAATTCAGTAACATTCACTCACCTGAAGAGAAAAAAGAAAATTAAGGCAAAATGAAAAAGGTGATGAATTAATTTCAGGTAACTTTAAATTTTGATCGAACCTATTAATTTAGGAGCCTTACTCAAATCTGAAAAGCGGTCTGTCTTGCGTGAGAATAATATAAATTCCCAGCCATTCATTTGAAAACATGTCCATGCAACAAATATTGAACAGACATACTTAATTAGTAGATCAAAATATTGCATTCACTAAACGATTCAAATTATTATTATTATTATTTATTTATTTTTTTTCTTTTCTGGAAACTTGACAATACGAACTTAAGCACGCACATACATTTTTTTCCCCTTAACAGTGTGAAAAGTGTTTTAGTAAGATTTGAAAAAACCCTTCAAAAACTGCTGATCTAATTTAAGTAAAGATAAATTAATTTTGATAGAATATAAAATGAAAGGTTTGTTTTTTTATAATATTCTTCAAGAATACATGGGTGGTCCCTAATGCTGTTTCACAAAGAAAACTGACAAGATAACAACAAAAATTTACTTGAAACTTATTCGGACTTCTTCAATAAACAAATACTGAATTTCTTGGTCTTTGCAGCACTGTTGAAATTGGGTAGAAGCTATATATGTATTTCAATGAAGTAGGACAGTCCACAATTCATACTTATTCATATTTTTAAAAATTGTATATATGTATTTGAATTGATCAAAATGATACATAACTAAAAAAATAATTTTGTTTGCAGGTATTGGTGGTGTATTCTACGTTAAAAAATAAAAAATAAAATAAAAGTTAAAACACACAGAATACACTACCAATATTTTTCTCACCAATGTATAACATCATGCATGACTGCCTACATGTATTGCATGCATATATACATATGCACAAGTTAGATACATACCAATAATGTTAGATGAATAATTGTTTAGACGTCTCTAGAGAGAGAGAGAGAGAGACTTTTCCATCTTTTTTGTCAAGTTCTAGGGTTTCAATTCCCATTGGCTGTACATAAGACAATAATTCATATTTTTCAGAGCTAGTCAACGGAATTTTCAGGTTTAGTGTCTCGATCTTCTTCTTTAGAACTCTCTTTCCCTGTCCTAAGATGAGGGATCAAATAATTATAGAAGAAAGAAGGAAGATAACATATATAGGTCATGAAGCTGCCTAGAAAGCCCTAATTCCTAATAATTCTCTCTAACTAGTGTATATATATCTGTATTGACATTTCTTCAGTGTTGATCTTCTTACTACTTTTCAGCTCAAAATTTCAAACCCTGACCTAGAGAGATTGAAGAAAACCTAGTACGAAAGATGGAGGGCAGTGGCGGCACTGAATGTGCTAAGACAAGCCTTTCTGACCAAAATGAAGATGAGGATGAGAGTGACCAGAACAACGATGCATGCCCTCCTAAAGATGGAGCAAGCTCAAGCAACAGCACAGTGGAAGAGACCGAGAAGAAGGCATCAGTGAGGCCTTATGTTCGATCTAAGATGCCCAGACTCCGCTGGACGCCTGATCTCCATCTTCGATTTGTCCATGCTGTAGAGAAGCTTGGTGGACAAGACAGTGAGTTACAACTAGTCAAATTTAATTTGATTAGGCCTTAAATATTTTTCCAGTCTGCTTGGGATCGTCTTAAGGACACATTGATCATTATATGTTGTTGATTCTTTTGGTGCAGGAGCAACACCCAAATTGGTTCTTCAAATGATGGGCATCAAAGGACTTAACATAGCTCATGTCAAGAGTCATTTACAGGTTATTTTGCCAATTTATAGCTACAGTTAGCATATCATGATGATTTAATTTCCTTTTTCCCAAGTAATATTTTTTCCTTTCTTGTTTGGGTATGTTGGATTAGATGTATAGAAGCAAGAAGATCGATGACCCTGCTCAAGGTAAGGCAATTTCTTCTTTCATATATTTTTCCTTCTCATTTGCACAAAATTAGGGTTTTCACTGGGCATCTAATTAACATGCCTATGCTTCTCCTTGGCAATAATAGCTGATCATAGGCATCTTGTGGAAGGTGGAGACCGAAATATCTACAACCTGAGCCAACTCCCTATGCTCCAAGGTTTTAACCTAAAGCATGATTCAAGTTCAAGGTATGAACAATTCAAACACTTCCTGGTTTGATCTTATTTTTTTAATTTAATCTCACAGTAAGATGTCCATTTTTTTTTGAAGATATGGAGATACTTGTTGGAGTGGCCTTGAACACTGGATGCATAACCCTTCTATAGGCCGGGGTATGAACGACATCAAAGACGGTCCACGATTTTATGGTTCAATTGCAGAGAGGATCTTTGGGAGAAACTATAGGAACTCTTCTGATCAATATCTTCATATGGGTATTTCCCCTTTGAATCACGAACAATACACTTGGAGAACCCATGAATTGAGAGATGACTTTCGATCATTTCATGATTGTGAGTCTTGGCGAGGAAAATCCATACCAAGCCATGTGGATCTCAACCCCTTAACTCAATTGCAGGAACAAGCTCGAGAGGGAACTAATCTTTTGGGCACCAGAAACTGTACTGATTTGAACAAAACGACGAGTCTTTCAGACCGGACCACACTGAAAAGGAAGGCTTCAGACTGCAACCTGGATTTGAAGCTATCTCTTGGGCTAACGCAAAGGAATGATGAGAGGAGGAAAGGTTTAGAGGAGGATGAAGAAGATGAGAGTAAGTTGTCATTGTCCTTGTGCTCACCATCTTCCTCAAAGCTAAGCAGGTTGAAGGAAGGAGACACTAGTAAGGAAGATGCAAGAAGGGTAAGTACTCTGGATCTGACTTTATGAATGAGACAATTCTAAGTGAGATCTTGAGGTACTTGTTGCAGAAAATGCATTTTCTAGATTGTCTTGTACCATCATATATACAAGGTATTAGCCAGCACGTACTTATCTTGTTTTGATGTTCTCTTTCCCCATTTTGTTTGCAAGATCTAGCTACTTTGTTTAGATTAATTAGTCTGTTATGTACTTCATTTGGAAGAAGAGGGTGAAAATTAAGATTGAAAAACTTCCATTTGTGTATCATCAAAATGGGATAATATATGCTAGAAATTTAGATAGATAGAATTTGGCATCACTACATTTTTTTTTTTTTTTCCCCTCCTCCCAGGCCAAAGTAAGATTGCATTAAACTAAAGAAACAAGAATACGAGGCACAGATAGAGGTCTAATTAGCTGAAGAAAATTAATTTGTAAATGGATATATAAGTGGTTAATTTGGTCCAAAAGGATCTAACTTTTCCCAAAATCATTGACATTCTTGCAAATCATACATTTGTTTAAGCTTCATTCTTTTGCTAGCTAGGGTTTTTAGTTTTGGTTGCTTATGATCCATATTTTATATATCATATATGGACACTCTTTTTATAAGTTTGTCTGACAAATGGTGTAAATTCTTACTTGACTAAGACCTCCTATCTTAATCTGATCCTAGCTATTTGTATAAAAGTTCGAATCAAGAGATGGAGATATATATACCTTTCTTTACCAGCACTTGGTCTGAGAATTTAGAAAGTGGCCGGTGTCTATGTATTTTGATCTGAGTCTATTTGAAATAGATTTTTGTATAAGATTATATATCTGGCCAAGAGCTAGACTATCTAATATATGGGGATTGGGGACCATAAATTAATATATATGTTGATGAATTCCACAACCAAATGAATTTCCTTTAAGAGCTACATATACTATTCCATAAATGGTTGATGAATTCCCTGAAAGGGAAGATTAATGTCAATTGTTGTGATTAGTTCCCATTAGAGAGAGAGAGATGATGATCGAAACTTAAGGCTGATAATTAATCTGTTCCAATAGTCTATGTTGTGTTGCAATTGTATGAAATTATTTCTGGATTGCTATATTGCAGGTTTGCTTAAGATTAGCTTTCTCATCTTCTATAAGTTTATTAAACTGCTCTCTTTTTGCTGTACCTGAAATACAAAATTTGTGAAGAAATTTCATGAGGTGACAAAAATGATATAAAACCCAAAAAGGAAGAGGTATTTTAATGTATAATATACAACTCCATGAATTTCTTGGATTTTTTTTTTTTTTTTTTTTTTTTTTTTTTTTTTTTTTTTTTTTCCATTAATGGTTGACATGCATATGTGAATATTGGACTTGGATTCTGGTATGCAGGATATATAGACATGTTTGGTTCAGTTTTTTTTGAGAATTCTTTCAAGTTTTAAGTAAATTAAAATTAGAAGACTGTACAATAATTTAACTGTTTGACTGACAGTTTCTATAAATGTTTTATGAAAAATCAGTTAAAAAACAGGCTTGAAAACAAATTTTCATTTTCTAAGTTCCTGCTAAATGTTTTTTACAAACTGACTCATAGAACCACAGTGTCCAAGATTATCTAGCTAGATAGTGGTCATAACTCACAATGACCCATCAATCATCAATTTTTTTTTTCCCAAAAAAAAAAAAAAAAGGAGGTAAAATGACCCTGTAACAGTCCTTATTGGTATCTGTTGTTCATGCAAATTCACTCCTAATTACAAATACAGGTGCTAACTTTATATGAAAAGAATTTGATAAAATGTTACTTCACTACTATTAATTAACTTTTTGTTCATATTCTTTTGTACGTGGTACTATATATGGCTAACAATTCAAAACAGGCTCCCAACTAAAGATCAAAAAGCTCTTGGATTTTTAAACAATCCTAACAATTGTTCTCTTTGAAATTCCTAACAATTACTCAACTCAATAAAATCTTTTTCCAACTATATGTTACATGAATCTTGATTTGTGAACCAGTTTACCTAAATTGATGGAATACAAAATTTTCCTGAGAATTACTCAAAATAGCCTCAAGACTCTTGTTTATAACTTGACCATCATTGTGTTTGGATTGCAGGTTATAAGAAAAAAATAGGACAGGATATCCTATCCTATTTCCTTTTCCTTACTTTCTAAATGAATTCCAAACTAATGATTGATTGTGTAAGATAAAATACACGGCACATAGTAATGCTGAGGTGTTTTGAGGGGTAAAGAATTGCAATGATATTTCTGCTTCTTAGAGTAATGCAGAGACGAGACTGTTGGTACCTTCTGAAAGTGCTAATCCATTGCACGAAACACACATTATTGTGAAGTATGAAGAAGGTCAAATGTACACAACTTTACTTTCATGTAGAGAAACTGTTTCAAGTTTCGAACTTGTGAACTTCATGCCACAATGGAAAAACCAACCCTAACAGCTATCTATTCTCCCCTCAAGGTTGAGCAAAACATTCTCTTGGTCATTGCATTGGGCATTATGGGCCTCTGTTTGTATCCCATTGTTAGGGCATTAGTTTATTAACCCTTTGGGTTTGTTTTGGGTTGCTTTTCTGTGCCCAATACAGTTAATTATTCCTTATTTATATAATTTTGTTTGATCTTAAAAAAGTAAAAAAACAAACAATGTATGTGGGCTACAGCTGGGTGTTTTGAGTAACAAATTGCCCGTGGCCCAATGGGCTCATTGTTTAATCAGATATGGGGATTTCTATGCCTTGTAACTTTTAAAGGGCAGCACCAAAGAAACAGATTGTGAAGCCCATGAACTTTCCAAGACCATATCACATACATGTACAGTAAATTTTCTGGGTGGTGCATCTTCCGATATATATAAATATATTTCCAATCGATCTAATTCTCTGCTGGATGGAACTTTTGAAATCATATATGGATCTAATTCTCTGCTGGATGGAACTTTTGAAATCTACATATATGATTCAAAAGAAAGTGAATGATTAAAGATTTGCCAAACAAAGGAAAGTGTTTGAAATCTACCTATGATTCAAAAGAAAGTGCCAAACAAAAGGAAAGTTTCAAAAAATATAATATAATTGGCCCATGCAGGTTTCAAGCCTGCGACCTTCGCGTTATTAGCACGACCCACTAACAAACTGAGCTAATAGGCCATTTTGTTTTTTATTTACAATTTTTAGCCATTTGTTCTATTGAGTCATATATATATATTGCTATACACATACATGTTGAACTAATGAAATAGAAATGAAAACTGATTGGATATATATGAGTTGGGTTTTAATAAATTAAATTTTTTAGTTGGATCGTGAAATATTCGACTCGTTATATTTGATCTAAAACACTTTATTAGTCTTTCTACATTATGCTTTGCATAAGTTAGCTCAATCACAGACAATTAATATATGTGTATTATTTCCTGAAAATAAAAATAACGTGTTTAAGAAAAACAAAATTGTTAGAATAAGAGATCCGAATAACGAAGTGTTCTTGCAATGTATTGCCCTATTTGGCAACAAAAGTATTGTTCTTGTTTTGGATTGTGTTCAATAGTAATCGAAAGCATTTTTGCTAAGGTTATATTTGTTGCAAGACTTTTTAAAACAAAAAAAAAGTGCTGCGTTTTTTCTAATTTTTTCCTGTGTGTCCTTGGGCTTGCTCTCTTGCCTTTTGGTCTGGGCCTTTTGTTTGTTTTTCTTTTCTCTTTCAATAAATTGATTAACTTACTGAAAAAAAAAATATAGAAATACCAGTTTAAAAATTAAAATGGTTAGTTTAAATGGTTATTTAAGAGTTCCTTTTTTCTTTGGTGTATTGTTCATCAGTAAGTGTTTTTGTTATGGTGTGGAAATATAAATTTGGTGCTTTTGATTTTGACTTCTTTCTCAAAATTGTTTTGATACTAATTAAATCATAGCAAATGTTATGAAACACGTTTTAGTGTTTTGTTTTATTAAAGTATACCGCCTGAAGCATAGACCACGAAATAGAAGCCGGTTGCCAAACGGGTCTATGTAAACTCTTCACCCACAACAGTTGGTAGACCGAACCTTGTAATGTGGGCTTGTAACTCAAATGAGGGCGCAACGAGGAGACTGGTTTGGCCCAGAAGGTTGGGCTTTCAGGGTTTAATCGATCGCTGGCTAAAAACCTTCAAAAAAAAAAAAAAAAAAAACAGTTGCTGGTCTGTTTTGAGTGGTGAGAAATTAAAATGAATGCAAATTATGATATATGTCAGCATCCAATGAAGCATATTGCCAAATTAATTTTTGCTTATCAAAAAGCAGAAGTGTTTGATAAATTAACATGAATCAGAACTAAAGAAAAATAAAAATTTAAAATTAAAATGAGGTGGAAAAAAAAAAAAAAATTCTCTGATCGAAACACACAGAACAAATCACTACCGGCCGATTCATAGCTGTGGCACCACCAGAGGAGGATCTGAGAATGGTTTGAGACGTACCATGCATGCAGCTAACCACGCCTAACTAATATTAATGGTAGACTAATTAATTCTTGATCACGAGGCTGACGTTGTCTCAGCGCGCGTCTTCAGATTGATGCAGTGGCTATACCCCACTATTAACATGAACATGTTCGGAGGAGCCAATGTTGGCTGCACCCTTAGGGCGCTTTACGCAAAGGAAGTAGAGGATGGAGGCGAGGAAAAGGGTGAAAAGCATGACAATAACGACCATCATGACTTCGCCGTGAAGACCAAAGTTATGGTCACTGTAAAACAGTTTCTCGTGATCTTTTTGAGTCTCTCCATCACTATCAGCCATGGAAGATGGAAATGGAGCACTAGCCATTGAAATGGTGAACATGGTTTGTGAATATGTCTGTCCTAAATATTTGTACATATGTATGTATAGGTGGGATCGAGATAAGATAAGAGCGTGACTGAAATTTTAGCAGGGAGAAGTTTTGGGTCATATTGGTCATTGGCAATGTGGCATGCATTCTGCATAATAATTCACTCATATTGTCCATAAACGTGGGATATTTGGAGAATATAGTTGGTAGATAAGACACACACAGACCGGCCTATGCCTTGGGCCATGCTAATGTAATGAGAAAAAAGCAGCCAAAAATTTATGTACTAGTAACGAGTGTGGTTTTTATGGACTAT